GAAAACGCAACTACATAATTCTATGCTCAATTTTGTACGTTGTGCAAAATTTGATGTCAAACTGACTAACATGTGGAGTTTGATGCCCAATTTACTTGAAATCGGGCGAAAATATATATGGAAGCTCTATCCAAATATTAAGCGATTTCAAACAAACTTGTCACAGGATAGGTTATACTAATTACAGAACGTTTTGTTCCTATTGGTTCTTGGTGCGTCAATTACTTAAAATCAATCTATAATAAAAGGGAGCTATATCTAAATCTGGACCGATTTTCACGAAACAACGCAGACATCACTCTAGGCTCAATTCAGTACGTTATGCCAAATTTTGTGCAAAACGAAAGATATATAGGGACTTTGGTGCAACATTTACATGAAATCGGACGAAACTATATGTGGGAGCTATATAGAAATATGGACCGATTTTATCGAAACTTGGCAGACATCACTCTAGGCTCAATTCAGTACGTTATGCAAAATTTCGTGCAAATCGAAGGATATATAGGGACTTTGGTGCACCATTTACATGAAATCGGACGAAACTATATATGGGAGCTATATGTAAATCTTGACCTATTTTCACGAAACTTGGCAGACATCATTCTAGGCCTAAATGATTAGGCTGTACCAAATTTCGTGCAAATCAAAAGATATAAAGGGACTTTTACATGAAATAGGACGAAACTATATAAGGAAGATATATCTAAATCAGGACCGATTTTCATGAAACTTGGCAGACATCATTCTGGGCTCAATTAAGTACGTTATGCCACATTTCGTGCAAATCGAAGGATATTTAGGAACTTTGGTGCACCATTTACATGTAATCGGACGAAACTATATATGGGAGCTATATCTAAATCTGGACCGATTTTCTCGAAACTTGGCAGACATCATTCTAGGCTCATTTCAGTACGTTATGCCAAATTTCGTGCAAATCAAAAGAAATATAGGGACTTTAGGGCACCATTTACATGAAATCGGACGAAACTATATATGGGAGCTATATCTAAATCTGGACAGATTTTCTCGAAACTTGGCAGACATCACTCTAGGCTTAATTCAGTACGTTATGCCAAATTTCGTGCAAATCAAACGATATATAGGGACTTTGGGGCACCCTTTATATGAAATCGGACGAAACTATATATGGGAGCTATATCTAAATCTGGACCGATTTTCTCGAAACTTGGCAGACATCATTCTGGGCTCAATTAAGTACGTTATTCCAAATTTCGTGCAAATCGAAGGATATATAGGGACTTTGGTGCACCATTTACATGTAATCGGACGAAGCTATATATGGGAGCTATATCTAAATCTGGACCGATTTTCTCGAAACTTGGCAGACATCACTCTAGGCTTAATTCAGTACGTTATGCCAAATTTCGTGCAAATCAAAAGATATATAGGGACTTTGGGGCACCATTTACATGAAATCGGACGAAACTATATATGGGAGCTATATCTAAATCTGGACCGATTTTCACGAAAATTGGCAGACATCATTATAGGCCTAAATGATGAGCCTGTACTAAATTTCGTGCAAATCGAAAGATATATAGGGACCGTTTACATTAAATCGGTTAAATATACATATGGGAGCTATATCTAAATCTGAACCGATTTTTCCCAATTTCAATAGGGTTCGTCCTTTGGCCGAATAAGTGACCTATGCCAAATTTCATCCAATTCGGATCATAAATGCGACCTGTACTTTGTTTACAATTTAACATGGACAGACAGACAGACAGACGGACGGACATGCATAAATCGACTTAGAAAGTGATTCTATGCAAATTCTCAAAAGGAACCAAGGGTCTATCTCGATTATTTTTGCCTGTTACAAACATATGCACAAAGACATAATACCCTGTACCACAGTGTGGTGAAGGGTATAAAAATGGAAAATTCGGTCCATCATAGGGATAGACAAATTAGAGACCTTAAAATATTTTTTACAAAATCCATGCCTATTGACACCTTGACAAAATATTAAAAAAGCCTATGGTAATCCCTGAAAAAAATTATTTAAACCAGTAAGGAAAGTAGTAAAGTCACCATTATGGGTATATAGTATATATGTATCATTACAATGGTCCCTCGAAGGAAAATACGCATGTCTTTCTGCAACCTACGATAAATTTAATTTCATTCAGGCCGATTTAGTGTCGTCTGCGTACCATGGGACAAATTTATGGAAACGATTTATAGCAAAATTGATACATGCTATGAGGTACGCCGCACTGTTAAAAATTTTAATTTCAATCAGATACATGTTCGAAATACTTATGGAAACTATGCCAGCATCTGTACCAATTTTAATAATATAACGTCATTTAAGTCTCAATTTGATACGTTGTACAAAATTTCGTGTTATTCGGACAACATTAGGACTTTGGTGCACCAATCTGAACGGATCCTTAACACACATCATTCTAGGCTCAATTCAGTACGCTATGACAAATTTCGTGCAGATAGATTCGGACTTTGGTACACCATTAAAATTAAATCGGACGAAACTATATATGGGAGCTTTAGCTAAATCCGGACCGATTATCACGAAACTTCACACACATCATTCTAGTTCTAATTCATTACGCTATGCCAAATTTCGTACAAATCGAAAAATATATTCGATCTTTGGTGCACCATTTACATTAAATCGGACAAAATATGTATTTGGGAGCTTTATATAAATCTGACCCGATTTTTCTCGAAATTTTCCACTCATCATTCTAGACTTAATTTAATACACTATGCCAAATTTCGTGCACATCGAGGGATGTAAAGGCACGTTGTTGCACTATTTATCTAAAATCGGACGAAAATATATATGGGAGCTATATCTAAATCAAAACCGATTTTCACGAAATTTAACGTACATCGTTCTAGACTTAATTCAGTACGCTATGCCAAATTTCGTGCAAATCGAAAGATATATAGGGACTTAGGTATACCATATACATTAAATCGGGCGAAAATATATATAGGAGCTACATCTATATCTGAACTGATTTTCACGAAACTTAGCACACATCATTCTGGACTTACAACAGTACCTTAAGCCAAATTTCGTACAAATCGAAAGATATATAGGGTCTTTGGTGCACCGTTTTCTTAAAATCGGACGAAAATATATTTGGAAATTATATCTGAATTTGTACCGATTTTTACGAAATTTAACACACGTCATTCTAGACTCAATTTATTACGCTATGCTAAATTTCGTGCAAATGAAGGATATATAGGGACTTGGGTGCACCATTTACATCAAATCGGACGAAAATATATATGGGAGCTATAGCTAAATCTGAACCGATTCCACGAAATTTTACGCACATCGTTCTAGACTTAATTCAGTACGCTATGTTAAATTTCGTGCAAATCGAAAGATAAATAAGGACTTTGGGGCGCCATTTACATAAAATCGGTTTGTATTCCGAGCCTGGGTAATATTTCATGATAGTTGCACCCTCTTGCCCGATTAGAGGTTAACAGCACATCTTCCTTACACAGACATATTTTCCGAATATTACGAAAATTCAGTACAGCCCTTCTAATTACTTCTCCATATTCCCTTCACCGTGGGTTGGGTAGTTATGTTCGACTTATAATTGTAGCCTAGAGAATGAATCGGAAAAAAATACAAACAAATAAGTTTTCGGTCCACTTTACCCAAAATTATTATCTGATTATCACCGAAAATCAAATGCGTTGTCCTTGACCATAACTGGAACCTCATGGAACATTAGCGATCAGTGCTATATTTCCGCCCTCTAGTGTGGTAATGGTTTATTAAATAATATATGAATACGTAAGCAACTGTAAACATGTACGTGTAACTCCCACATCCGAGTACATACGACACACATGTCTAAATCGACTCAGCTAGTCGAGATATGAGATCGGTATACTTAAAGGTGGGTCTAGGACCAATATTTCGCGGCGTTACAAACTTTTGGGGCTGCACAAAGCTATAATACCCTGACAACATAGTTGTGTAGGGTATAAAAATGATTTAAAAAATTCACGCCCTTTATAACCGTTGAAAACATTTTTCTGACTGCCAATCTTCCGATTCATTTCAATACTATTTTGAATCCTGCCATCTCATTTTAACTATGATTTATATTTTTAGTGGTCTATTGCAAGGTTAAATACAAATGAATATATTTCTGTATCTTTATATATTTAGTGGTATTAATGAAAGTTGTGTATATATATAAATTAATGTCTCTAAGCCTGTGGCTTAAAAGTTTTCTTGCAATAACTGAACGCATGAATGAATGAGAAAATAACCTTGAACATGACATGGATGGTTATACGAAGTGATGGCGGCAAATATCTTATTGGTTTTGCGTGTGTTTCAGTTCATCAACATCTAAGAAGAAATAAAATGAAGAAGCCAAAAAAAATTAGGAAAAGTGGTGTTATGGCTCGGTAAGGTTGAAAAATCATATGCCCTTAATTTATACGTAGATCATGAGATAGCATTTGCAAATGGCTTGCCGCATTATATATCCTTTTGATTTGATTTTGGCTAGACAGAACAGTAAATAATTTTTGCACGAGATTTGAATTAACCAATTTTACAGAGGTGGTGGAGTGGGGGGACCTCCACCTCTTTATAAACAGGTGAATATTTCTAATTAAAGTTTAATGAAGCCTTGTTTTTAACCAGAGAAGAATAATGGGGGTAATGAACTGGTTGTTGCAACACCAAAGATTTATTGTTGGCAATTTATTAAAACAAAGTGACCTCCTTACTTTTCCTTATCCTTTTGAGTTGTAAGGCTGTCATTTGACAATGCCTTTAATAGGCTTTCCGAACTCATTTAAGGGTTCACAGAGCATTTCACCGAATTTCAATTATTAATTTGAAATGAAAAGTTTGACAGCTGTGGCCCTCCTTGATTTGTTAATTTTGGCAAATAGCTATTTAGAAATGTTTTATTGTGGCGATTCGAATGAAATGGTTCTGAAAAACAAAATTAATATATTTCTTACATACCATAATTTTTATAGAAACACCAGGAAATGAAGCATTACATACCTGGAAAAAGAGGAAATATTTTTTAAATTAGAAAAAAAATCAATATTTTTTATGTTTTTAAATAAATTTTTCAGGGTCTATCATACGTTTGGATCTTTAAAATAATTTTTTTCAGGGACCACCATAGGCGTGGATCTCTAAAATAATTTTTTTTTTTTCAGGGACTACCATAGGCGTGGATCTTTAAAATAATTTTTTCAGGGACCACCATAGGCGTGGATCTTTAAAATATTTTTTCAGGGACCAACGTAGGCGTGGATCTTTAAAATATTTTTTTTGTCAGGGACCACCATAGGCGTGAATTTTTAAAATATTTTTTTTGAGGGACCACCATAGGCGTGGATATTTAAAATAATTTTTTTCAGGGACTACCATAGGCGTGGATCTTTAAAATAATTTTTTTCAGAGACCACCATAGGCGTGGATCTTTAAAATATTTTTTTTCAGGGACCACCATAGGCGTGGATCTTTAAAATAATTTTTTTCAGGGACCACCATAGGCGTGGATCTTTAAAATATTATTTTTCAGGGACCACCATAGACGTGGATCTTTAAAATATTTTTTTTCAAGGAACCACCATAGGCGAGGATCTTTAAAATAATTTTTTTTTCGGGGACCACCATAGGCGTGGATCTTTAAAATATTTTTTTTTTCAGGGACCACCATAGGCGTGGATCTTTAAAATAATTTTTTCAGAGACCATCATAGGCGTGGATCTTTAAAATAATTTTTTTCGGGGACCACCATAGTCGTGGATCCTTGGAATAATTTTTTCAGGGACCACCATAGGCGTGGATCTTTAAAATACTTTTCTTCAGGGACCACCACCATAGGCGTGGATCTTTAAATAATTTTTTCAGGGACCATCATAGGCGTGGATCTTTAAAATACTTTTTTTTTCAGGGACCACCATAGACGTGGATCTTTAAAATAATTTTTTTCAGGGAGCACCATGGGCGTGGATCTTTAAAATAATTTATTTTCGGGGACCACCATGGGCGTGGATCTTTAAAATAATTTTTTTCCGAAACCACCATAGGCGTGGATCTTTTAAATATTTTTTCCGGATTAACATCTTGAAATCCTTCCTCTTGTCTCTCTATGAACTTGATATATGCTCTTTGACATTTTTGCAATACATTTCAATCTCATCCACATAAAGCATTTACCCCCTCTCCCCCCAAAGACATCCAAATTGTGTGTGACACAGAAAAACAACCTTCGTGAATATTTGTCTATTTTTATGCTCGATTTGGTCACGGTGTTTTAGATGGCCTCAAATTTACACAATACCGCTAAGAAATATGGATGAGCAGACAACGAAATAGGGAAGCTAGCAAACAGAGCCACTGGCATAGAAAAAAATTCAAGCCAAAAACTTGTTCTCAATGAGAAGATATGCTACCAGCTACCGAATTGAAGAAGCAGCAAAAAAACTTTGATTAATGTTTGCTTCCGATTTGCATAAATTTTGCTTTAGCTCTGGATTTTTTCTGTGTGCGAAAGTTAACGTTTAACATTTCATACCTTTGAGGTTCTACAAAGCAGAGAAGTCTCAAGGGAAGGTGAAAAAGCACAGAATAAGGAAATAAAACCCCCCCTAATGTTGACGACCCCCGGAAATGTATAAAGGACCACGATATGCGAATCTGCACTTGGAATGTGCACACGTTGTACAGAACAGGCGTAGTTTTCGCTTTGTATCGGGTGTACTCAAGAAGTAAAAAGCCGATATTATTGTTTTACAGGATATGCGATGGAAAGGGACAGGCGTAAGTAAATCAGATGATTACGCCGTGTATTATTGCTGTCATGAAACGATACAGGAACTTGGCTGCGGATTTATGATTAACATGGGAATAAAAGACCTCGTCACCAGATTCACTCCAGTAGATGAGCGAATTGTTATAATCCGCATAAAAGCAAAGTTCTACTACATCAGTCTTTTTTGCGCCCATGCTCCGACCAAAGATAAAGATGAGCAGACCAAAGGCATATTTTATGAGCGCCTAGAAACAACATATGATCGCTGCCCGGCCATGACATTAAAATTCTGCTAGGAGATTTTAATGCAAAAATCGGAAGGGAAAATATCTTTGGCCCCACCGTCGGAAAATTAAGCCTCCTTGAAGAAACTTCCGACAACGACACCAGACTTCACGGCAGCAAAAAACATAAACACAAGGCCACCTGGATTTCTCCTGATCAAGCAACGAGAAATAAAATTGACTATGTTGTGATAGATGGAAGGCATTCATCCAGTGTATAAGACGTCCGATCGATACAAGGAGTGAACATTGATTCGGACCACTACTTTGTAGCAGCCAGGGTTCGCACTCGTCTTAATGTTGCAGCAAAGGTGTCATCTAACACGACACGGAAACTCGACGTCGAAAAGCTACAAACACAACAGGTAGCCGAGTTCTAGTCCGCTCAACTTACCCACCTGCTTGACGAAAGCATTTCTTGTCCCGATAATAGGATAGAAGCACTATGGCAACGAATTGCCCACTCCCTACAAACTGCAGTAAAAGCAACACTTGGGTACCAAAAACCAACACCAAGAAACCCATAGTACGACCAGGAGTGTTGTAATGCTACTGATCTGAAAAACGCAGCGTATAGGGCAACCCTGCAGACAGTAGCAACACGTAATGTGATGGAGAACTATTCATAGAAAAGGAGAGAGGAGAAACGTGTTTTCAGAAAAAAGAAAGAACAAGAAAAACGTGAGCGTGAGCAAATCGAGATGTACAGGAGTCAGAATGAAGTCCGAAAATGTTACCAACGAGTAAAACACCAAACCGAAGGTTTTGGTGCAGACACATCCTCCTGTAGAGATAAAGAAGGAAACCTGGTGACAGATACAGACAGCGTGCTGAGGATCTGCATGGAGCATTTTGAAAAACTTCTGGTATCAAATAGTGGCGGCGAAGAAGATACCCCAGAACCAATAAGAGATGATCGTACAGAGTGTACAACACCTGCCCAAGATGAGGTCAGAATAGCAATCAATCGGCTGAAGAACAATAAAACAGCAGGAGCCGACGAGTTACCAGGCGAACTATTCAAGACTGGTGGTCAGATGCTGGTCAGGAGCATGCACCAGCTGATTAGAACAATTTGGCTAGAGGAATGCATGCCTAATGATTGGATCCTCAGCATCCTGTGTCCCGTGCACAAAAAAGGAGACAAGACGATATGTGCCAACTATTTAGGAATTAGCCTTCTTCCCGTTGCATATATAGTGCTATCCAGAGTGCTGTGTGAACGATTGAGGCCAATGATATCATTGAATCATGCCAATACGGCTTGAGGTCTGGTAAATCCACCATTGATCAGATTTTCCCTCTGCGCCAAAACCTGGAAAAGACCAACGAAAAACACATCGGCACATACCATCTATTTGTCGACTATAAAGACACATTCGACAGCCCCATCCATTTCTTTTTTTCATTGATCAGATTTTCACTCTGCGCCATATCCTGAAAATTTTCCACGAAAAACACATCGACACATACCACCTATTCGTCGACTATAAAGCCGCATTCGACAGCCCTATCCGGTATTCGGCATTCCTGCAAAATAAATACAGCTATGGAGGATACCTTTAAGTGGCACAAGGTCAGCAGTTATAGTCGGAAAAGACCTATCGGAGCCCTTCAATACCGAACTAGGATTCAGACAAGGTGGCAGTTTGTCGTGTGATCTTTTTAACATCCTGCTGGAAAATGTCATACGCGACGCAAAGGTGAACAGAGATGATACTCTATACACCTAACAACACATGTTACTCGCCTACGCCGGTGACTTCGATACAATGGGTCGAACATTGCGGGCGGTAACAGCCACCTTTGAAAAAATTGGGAAGGAGTCTGCCTAAGTGGGTGTGGCAGTAAACGGCGAGAAGACAAAGCTAATGGATGCGCAAGACTCCAATAGACTCGGACCAACTGTGGAACTTGAGAACTACAGCTTTGAGGTAGTTAAATATGTTATATACCTTGATACCGCCATAAATAAAACGAATGACATTAGTTTTGAAATTCGGAGAAGGATTGTGATGGCCAACAGATGCGAGTAAGCAGTTTAGAAACAAGGCCGCGTCCCCCCAGACCAAACTCCCTCTCTACAAGACGCTAGTACTACCCGTGATGTTATATGCTTCTGAAGCATGGGTACTTGCGCAAGCAGATGAGGCAGCTCTGCGTCGACGAACTTTACAATATATACGCAGACATCGACAGTCGTATTGAGCTGCAGCGACTACGATGGCTAGGCCATGTTGTGCGAATGAATGAGAATGCCCCAGCTCAAAAGGCATATAAAAGCGATGGTTCCCGCAGAAGGGGAAGACCACGAATCAGATGCAAAGACCAAGTAGAAAACAACATATTGAAACGTGGTCTTTCAAATTGGAGGAGATGCGCACAAGACCGACGCGTCTGGAAATCTTTTTTAAGCTCGGCTTATGGAACAACCGTTGTTTTCCAATCCAGTTCTACTTTAGAACCGGAAGAAATTATTTGAAAAATCCACGCCTATTGTAGTCCTTGGGAAAATTGTTTCAAAAATTTACGCCTTTTTGTTTTTGAAAATTGAAGTCTATTTCCCTCTACGCCCCTGTCCCATCGATTGCCTGTTCCTCTACTCAATTCTGTTTATTTCTCTCTATTTTTTTGTCCTGCCCAGCTGTTTTGCAATTTTCTTCACGTAACCAAATTTTGGCGATTGTTAAGCACAGCTTTCCACCAATATTTTTCTCTGCTGCCCTGCTGGCCCCCCTTTTGACTGGCAAACGTTATAAATTATCCCCGCAGTCGTGATGCTAAATGAAGACCCCGAGAAATAACATTCACAAATAGACATTCGAAAACGAGACAAACCACGATTTCAGGTATTTTTCTGGTGTGGCGGTGTTTTTGCGAGTCTGTGTGTGTGTGTGTGTGTGTGTGTGCGGCGCCAAATTGTTCTCCCTGGAGATAGATATGCATTTCCC